GGCCCTCTGATGACGTGTGGACTTCAACTCCCAGAATTCCTCAGCCAGGCACGCTGGGCTGAGGAATTCTGGGAACTGAAGTCCACACGCCAAATTTGAAGACCTCTGATCTATTAAGAAAGTTATCCAGTCAAAATTGCAATAAAGCAGTCTAGCCACCTTTGTTCTTGTTCTATCCATGCTGAATTCTGGGAAACCCTTGCTGGTCTTAAAGTGACCAAAATTGAACATGCTGGCTGGGGAATTCTGGGAGTTGAAGTCCACCGGTCTTAAAGTGGCCAAGTTTGGAAACCCTGGTCTAAAGCAATGCATAATGTTGATAAAATTTAAGAGTTTAAATGTCCCTACTGGGATTGTGTCATGCGATTGTGGGTCGTTTCGTAGAGGGAAAAAACCCACCACTTTTGCTCAATCTGGGGTCATTTATCCAGGTTTAGGAAGCCGTAGGCTAAAGATTTCAGCAAAAATAATGCAACTGCCAAGTAATTTGTCGGTTTTTGCCTTCTTAACTCTTGTCGCCCTCTGGAAAGACACGTCAACACAAAGGACCTGCTTGAAATTCAGCATTTCTTTCGAGAGGAATGTCACTTAAAACAGGATTTATTTTGGTCGTGGGGCGTGTTCGGTTGCGAAAAGGCCTCTTGTCCCTAAAATGATATATTTCTCAATCCGCTTCCTCCGTGTTCGCAGGAGAAGGGATCTCCAGGCAGTCCCCGATTTACGACTGTTCGTTTAGTGACAGTTCGAAGTCACGACGCCACTGGGAAAAAAAGCGACTTAGGACCGTTGGTCGGAATTGCCACCTCTGCAGCCTCCCCCGTCGTGGTCCCGTGAGCGAAATTCGGACGCTTGGCCGCCGGTTCATACTTACGACGGCTGCCGTGATCCCCTTTTGCGGCTGGATTCATTTAAGGACCGGGTTGCTAACGAGCCAACTGCAGTGATCCGTTTAACAACCGAGGCGAGGAAGCTCGCAAACGGGGAAAAACTAACTTAGAAAACGTCTCGCTTAACAGAGGTTTTTGGGGGTCCCTTGCGGTCGTAAGTCGAGGACTGCCTACACAACGCTAGGACTACAGTTGTGATCATTTCCCCTTTGCCTCTTCCGTTGCCTGGAGGATTCCCGGAGGCGGAATTCGTACATCTCTGGATCTTTTGGTGCCGACGTGTTCTTCATATCCACTCACCCCACCCTGCTTTCGAAGAAAACGGCCGGGCTCCCCTCGTTGAGGACTAGCAACGTGCACAGGCCGAGCAATCCAGGGTCCTAGATGGTGGTGCTGTTTTCTATCTCGGGAGGATAGAGGTAAGTGTAAGGCAGGGGGAGGGTCTTGTTCCGGCTCTCGATGGCCAAGGTGATGTGCTTGAGATGCTCCTGGAAAGCGCCGATGAGCCGCTTCGGGCCTTCCTCCACAAAGTGTTCCTCCTCATAGTAGCCCAGCGGTCTCTGCAGAAGCGGAAGAGAATCACAGAGTAAGAACAGAGTTGGGAGGGACCCCGGAGGTAATCGCTGAGAGCAAGCCACTTGGAGGGCCCTGGGAGAGCAAGCAACTAAATTTTGTTTTTAATGGGTGCCATTGTGCCCACAGTAAAAAATGACAATAAAGGTTGTCTGTCTGTCTATCATCTATCCATCCGTCCGTCTGTCTATCTCTATCCTCTCTCTCTCTTTCTCTATTTATCTGTCTCTATCTATCCTCTCTCTCTCTCTCTCTCTCTCTCTCTCTCTCTCTCTCTCTCTCTCTCTCT